CTGTGGAATTCTGGGAGTTGAAGTCCACAAGTCTAAAAAGTGCCTCACCAGGGCTAAAGCTGACCGCACGTCACTGACGGAGTGAGCTCCTGTTACTTGTCCCACCTTCTGCCAACCTAGCAGTTTGAAAGCATGTAAAAATGCAAATAGAAAAATAGGAACCACCTTTGGTGGGAAGCTAATAGCGTTCTGTGCGCCTTTGGCGTTTAGTCATACGGGCCACATGACCATGGAGACATCTTCGGAAAGCGCTGGCTCTTCGGCTTTGAAATGGAGATGAGCAGCGCCCCCTAGAGTCGTGAACGATTAGCACACATGTGCGAGGAGAACCTTTACCTTTACCTTTATGTCCAGATCTGGTAGCCTTAATTATGCTTAAATACAGGAAGCAAGCCCAGTTTAAGAGATAGTCAGATAATTTGTAGTTTTGATACCATAATATTAAACTTTCTGATTTGAAGAGTATATTTAGGTTCAAGTTAAGCATCTCAGGTAATGTTCTCCAACCTCCTCCATGCATGCTGGACTAGAGTTCCCAAAATTCTTCAGTCAATATGGATGTCAGTTGCAACTTCTGCTAATTTCAAGTTCAACACATCTATAAAGGTATCAACTGAGAATAGTAGAAAACAGGTGTAGTCCATGAATGTGATGAGAAAAGGTGGAGAATGATCTCTACCTTTTCAAATAATGCATAGGGACTTATGAAATACTAATTTTCACCTACTATTCCTTGAAAAAACATTTAAAGAAGCAGAGGAGAAAAAATATTCTGTTCCAACTAGTTCCTTCCTTTACCAAATATTTATGTTCCAAAAATGGATATTCACTCCTTGCTTACAGTCTGCTATGGTCAATGTTCTTCAGACCTGAAGCATTTTCTCATTTTACCTAATTGGAAGAAATAGCTAATTATGCATGTGAGCTTTATTTAAAAAAAAAAAGATTGACCAAACAGGTCTCCATGGATAAGAAAACCAATATCCTGCAGGAAACAATGTGTTGTATATTCTTGATTTCTTGGAATAGCATGTTTCATAACATACTATTTTTCTCTGCATATCATGAACATTTAATGCAGGAAAAGATGCTAATAATGATTCCCCATGTATTCCTCAAAAGGCACATTACAATGAACTTCTAAAAACTGTCTCTGTTACATCCACCAACAAAAGTGGGCCTAGGGTCTTACATATTTTTGGTTTCAGTTTAAAAAGGCTAAACCAGGTGCAGCTTGAGTACAAAGTGAGTATCGAAAATATGTTTTAAAAATCTCATTTTTTTAAAAAAAAGGGGGGGTTTCCATGTGGAGCAATTAACTCTTTGAAGACAATTGTTGAAGATATGAATGCCAATTCATTCAGAAGCCAAAAGTGGTAGGCTGCACAAGCAGATATATTGAGGTTAACTTTACCTACCAAACAATGGGGGGTTCTGGATCCCGTTGCAACTGGTACAGTGCAATGGGGCCTGGCGGCCCGTGGCACGTCAAAACCGCGCTCGACTAAAGCGCGCTCGACGAAACCGCATAGCTGACGTCATCACAGGGCGACAACAGCGCGGAGACAGAAGCACACTGTAAACGCTAAACCTAAAATTAACCCCTAAATCTAAACCTAACCCCCCTC